TTGATCCAATCATCAAACCACGGTAAGAACATTGTGGAGAATATAACTTCCACCCCGATACAAGCAAACTTACTTAAAAAAGTCTTGATCTCAATAGTAATGGTCTTTAGTAGATACTTATAATTATATTTTTACGTGGTATAGCAATGCTACAGCTTTATTATTTGTATAGTTGTACCACGAACGGGTCGGCTTGACCGGGTAAGGACCACGCTCTCACAGAATACCAGCGTCAAATAGCAGCTTAATGCTGCTGTTTCGTATGGTGAGTGTAGATAACCGGAGACCCTTTTTACTGGAAAAGAGGCATTCCATCTTAGTCCTCAAGAGCTGACAACGCATCTTCATTTTGATTCGCAAACGAGGGTAGATGTAGATGTCTATGGGCCACAGCAACCACTTACCATCAGATGCACTGGGTGTATATAGGAAAAGGGTGACAAGCGAGCCCTTTTCCTATATAATATATAATAGAGTGTTGGAACACGTTCCGTCCGGTCCGGGCGTGTGTCATTTGAATATTTCTACCTGCTGCATTCCAAGATGGCCACCACTGCAAGTGCATACTTGACGCCGATGAACACAGTCGACAGAAAGAATTTAATAAGTTTTGATATATATATATATATATATATATATATATATATTTTATATATATATATATATATATATATATATATATATTATTTGTTTGTTTGATTTGATGCAATTTTAATATATTGCAAGGATAAGTAATTATATTGTAAGGGTGGTAGACTAAATTCGATTTGTAAGAAGCTATAAACAGAAATAATTAAGATCTACTTACTATCTTCCGCACATCCCTAACGGGGTAGAGAGAGAACAGATCGATATCTTTACCTCTTTCGCTTCTTTCACAGATCTTTAAAGCTAATAAAAAATGATAAATATGTCACCTATATATGTATTATAATTCGTGCCGGTACACCGCCTGGAACTTTACAAGGCGCAGGTTCGGCCCCACATGGCACAGCCATCTCTGTGGGCTGAGGCTCCCCAATGCCAGCTCCTTCCATTTGACCGCATCACGCGCAGAGTGGATCCAATCGTCCACGACCGAGTGCTTTCCGATTGGCTCGATTCACTGGTGCTACGAAGAGATATTGCATCTCTTTGCATATTCTTTCGCATCTACCACGGGGAGTGCTCTGAGGAATTGTTCGGATTAATCCCAGCCGCCAAATTTCATGAACGCACTACGCGACAAACCTTTCGATAACATCCACACCATCTGAATGCTTGGCGGTTCACCACTGTACGTTTCACTAAGAGTTTTCTTCCGCGTACGACCTCTCTGTGGAATAGTTTACCGCCAGCGATTTTTTCGGACCGATACGACCTGGGGACATATAAGAAAAGAGCTTACTCCTTTCTAAAAGGCCATCAACGCAACTGCAATTCCCCAGGTGTTGCAGTTGTTCATCGGCGGCGGTAGTCACTTAACATCGGGTGAACCGTACTCGTATGCTCGTTTGCCCCCTTCCTTATGGTTATCATGGCATGATGATGCACAATTAATGAAATTTACTGTTAAACCTACTAAGAAAATAATACTGATATCAATATTATATTTTTAATATATTTTATTTTATTCCAATATTTACTATTAATATTCATTACATACAATATAAGAAGTCTATGTTAATAAATATATTAATTTATACCACGTTGTTCCCAAAAATTTAGAAGGATTTTAAAAAAACATTATGAGGTGGGTATTTCATGTCGAGTGGTGTCGACTTAAGAAAAATCCACTATCCCATTATGCATATACCTACTGTGTGTATATACCCACATCATCTCGTAGGTGTCGTAGGCAGCGACAAAGGGAAACTAAAACTTGAGATGTGCAGCAGCATCGTAGTGACAAAAACTCAAAATAATAAAATAACTACGGTGGCAAACCCGACTTCCAAACGCAGTAAGGCTGCAATGTATGTTGGGTGGTCTGTGGCTGCAATACTATAAAGGTTATACAATCATTATTACGTAATAAAAGCCAGTTGTTGACTACAATCTACATCAATTCTGTTTTAGAAAACCTTTTCGCTCTTGCCTTGATATACACAAATTATGATCCAAGAGAAAGAGAGACGCTAGCAAACTATTATACTTCTTTTACTGCGAGCATTTCGATCAACAAAGCAATTCATTAATACGTAGAATGTTGTCACAGGTGTTGGTACTTGGTGAAAACATATTTTTAACAAAGGAAAACAAGCTTGAAATCAGAATAATTTAGTGTTGTTAGGAATGTCTCGCGTTCCTAAATTATAGAATAATTAAAACTGTAAAATAATAAAAACCGTTTAGTCACTACTACTAAACGGTTTTCACTAGTTACTTGAATATATATATTACATATAGATATACATTTCATTAATTAAAAATATAGATTAGCCTATATCGTTCTATGAGTGTCGTAATAGACGACAGACAACAACTAAAATTAGAGATGGAAAGAAATCTCATGTTTCAAGCTCTCATCTCTATATTTCAAGCTAACTGCACGCGTCCATAGCTGCAGTGGCCACTTACTATCACGACGAATGTAAACCCATTTATTTGGCCCTTCAGTTAAAAAAAATTCTGTCCATTCGTCGTCTCATTCCACATCCACAACATGATTAAAGTAGTGGATATTCTTACCGCACCCCTACACGACCATGATGATTCTAGCTTTACAAAAATATTTACTCTTGCAAGAATGAGCTAAGTTCAATATTAGCATTCATTGTTGTTCCCTCTTAAGTCTTAGACATTATACAAATTCGGTGTAACCCAAGGTAGTATAGGACCTCTACTTTTTATACTATACATAAATTACATATACTACACGACAAATTACAAAACGCTTTTATGAACAGATAAATATTCATGACGATTAAGACTATTAAAAAATTACTACGAGTACTATATATTGTAAAATGGACACAATTGAGACACTTATTTAATAATAAACATTACGAGTAATAAATTATATTTAAATAATTGTTATGTGGCTTAGTAAAAACAGTACATGTTAATTTAAGCAATATGAAACTGTAGTGTTTGTACGATTAAAAAAGTGACTTAATTTAGTATCAGGATGTTATTTGCAAGCTACTAAGACATAAATAAGCATATAAATGTTTTTATATGTCTGTTTTATGTTCGGCGCTATTATCGCGATCCAAAAATCACCCGTGCGAAGTATTGAATAAAACAAACAATGTACTTCTACATACCGCTATCGGTATGACATTTTGAGGTTTATCATTGGCTCTAAATTAAAGGGGGAAAATATTTATAAATAAATTCGTAATTTACCGTGTAGTAGCGTTGTCAGAATATTCACTAACCTATATAGTCCTGAGGGTGTCGTAAGAGGCGACAGAGGGAAACAAAATCAGGAGATGGGCAGCCCCTTTAACAAACGTAACATCCATCTTGACTATCTGTCGAATATCTATTGTTCCCGTCATTTACACGCCATGTATTTAATTTATTGTAAATTACTATTATACTTAGCTTTTAGCACTAATGTTATAATAATATATAAATTTTTATGAGTACGACAACTGCAGTTGCCAACCCGCGTGGCAAGTATAGCAACTAAGTATGGCAAATCTTGCATCCTATGATGCAATCTATGGGGGATGCCTATATTCAGGAGTGGACTTTAATAGGCGGTAACGGTAACGGCAAATTCCTAATATCATGATCATCATCATTACAGCCCTTCACAAATCCACTGCTGGAGATAGGCCTCCCCCAAAAGTGCCACAAAGCATGGTCCCGATCCACTTGCATCCAAATAAACATATTTGTAAAATAAACGTATTATACACTTTATATAAACCGACAAATATATCAAACAAAATACATAGGTTATATTATAATAATAAATATTGTACAAAGGTTTTTTTTATAGAAGAGGGGGCAAACGAGCATGCGGCTCACCTGATGTAAAATGACTACCGCCGCCCATGATCATCCGCAACACCAGGTGAATTGCAGGAGCGTTACTGGCCCTTTAGAAAGGAGTAAGTTCTTTTCTTGAAGGTCCCCAGGTCGTATCGGTTTGGAAAAATCGCCGGTGGTAAACTATTCCACAGAGAGGTCGTACGCGGAAGAAAACTCCCTGTGTTACCGCCAAGCATCCAGATGGTGTGAATGGTATCGGGACGTTTTCCGCGTAGTGCGTTCACAAAATTTGGCGGCTGGGATTAATCCGAATAACTCCTCGGAGCACTCTACATGGTATATGTGATAGAAAATGCAAAGAGATGCAACATCTCTTCGCAGCGTCAGTGAATCGAGCCGATCGGAAAGCACTCGGTCGTCGACGATTCGAGCCGCTCTGCACTGGATGCGGTCAAGTGAAAGGAGCTGGTACTGGGGAGCTCCAGCCCAGAGATGGGAATAGTATTCCATGTGCGGCCGAACCTGCGCCTTGTAAGTGCAGAGAAACAGAGAACGTTTTTACTGGAAACGAGACATTCAATCCTTATCCTTAGAATGGTGACAATGCATCTGCATTTTGATTCTTAACCAAGAATAGATGTAAATGTTTAACGTAATATAAATGACTACATTCACTTCACTTGGCAATCATCATCAGGCGGAACCGTGTGGTCGTTTGTCACCCTTATTCTATGATTAAGAAAATCAAATATCTTACAAAAGCTTCAATCACGGATTCTGCAAAATGACGGCTCCATAATGATGTGGTTTAGTATTGAGTTACGGTGCTTGAAAACCGCGAATAAGTATCTTTATGGCCTATAATTGTTCAGAAACTGAAATTGAAACTAACTTCATGATGCAGGACGAAATTAGGTGGGGCTTCCATATAAAATATAACCTTTATATCAAAATGTATAACTCACTTGTTATACAACTTCTGAAGATCGGCGACCTGGAAATTATTTTACAAGACGCCTAAATTATGCCTTAAAGTCTGGCCAGTTTTATCGTGGCTTTTGCGCAAAGTGGTTATGGATCGCATCACGTTTAAAGTTAACGGTGTTCAATGTTCGGGTATGTTTTTCACAACAAGTTAAATTACTTAACAACGTACTTTTTTTTTGTAAATGAACATGTATGAGTTTCAGTAATAGGATATGTTTAGATCCGGAAATATCTTAGTTATATATAGTTATTACTATTAGTTTTTGTTATAACTATTTTAAGAAAATAGTTTTAAATTTTCACTGGTATCAAACAATTTTACCATAGAAATAATATCATTTTCTAATAATTATATTATTAGACTTTATTTATTTTTCTGTAGTATTATCTTATTCTCTTTTCTTACTACAATAGGTAAAAACCGAAGTATATTTGTCACAATGGGGATTCTCAAGTTTGAATCAAAAAGCGGAAATTCTGCATTCGACTGTATGTTCCTTTTTTGTGTGTACATTTACGCAAGATCTTCATTAATTGTGCACCAAGTTTAATCATTTTTTTATCAAATACGTTATACTTAAAAGTTTATATTATTATATTTTATATAAAATTCCAATCATAATGTTAAGGGTAAAAAATTTACTCTTAATAGAAATTAAAAGCCAACTTCAAATAACCCTACAGATTAAAATAATTTTACATTATGATGTCGGAAAAAATAATTCTATGTCTAAGCACCGACTGTAGAATGTGAAATTGTTTTATTCTTTTTAGTTCCATGCAGCAAGTTAATTCTTATTATGACTACTCGTATTATCTTTTCGTCCCTAACACTATTCAAACCCAACATTTGTATAAAAAAGATAACATTGAACATCATCATCATTATCATCATTACAGCCCTTCAAACGTCCAATGCTGAAAATAGGCCTCCCTCAAGGAATACAAAAAAGCACAATCCTGAGCCACCTACATCCATCGACTTTCTGCACATTTCGTTCGTCCTTCTGCACTCCACTGTTCTGCACATCTCGTTACTCCATCTAATGGGGGGCCGCCTTTAAATTACTCGATTTAACATTGGATATAGTTACGTTAAACCGAGTGCTTTTTCCTTTAAACTTTAAAAAAGGAGTAGTAAGCCTATCAAGAGTATCTCAAGATACACATATTACATATGAACTCTCACGCCTCTTACGCATAAGGGTGGCAGATACTATGAACTTCACTAAGGAATGAGGTGAAATAATTAACAGATTTCATAGCGGAGAAGTTGATTAGTTCGGAAAATTTATGTTCAAATAAAAAATTTTAATTACTAAGACAAAAATCTCATAATCTTTAAATAAAAAAACTAACTAATCTTACGTCACATATCAATCAACCAACTAGATTGATGTTAATATAAATATTAAGCAATAAAAAATAGGTGTCGTGCTTCATGAAATGTAATAAAAAATCAGATTTGTTGCATTAATAATAATTTTATTGAAAAAGTTTGTATTAGTGATAATCTTTTGACAGATCTTCAAAAGTTGCTTTCAACAACTATTTTACTGAATCAACAAATATTGTTGTAGATCGATTTCCTACGGTTTTCAGGACGAATAAAAAACGTTATTTTGTCTAGGAGGTAGCTGAGGGCAGGGCAGAGCAGAGTTACTTTTGTAGTTTGTTCTTCCTTTTTCTGGTAAGGAACGACCGCGGAGAAAAAGAGGAGAGAGGTTTCTATTCATTACCAACTCACCTCCATGGAAACTCACAAACTGTGTTTCCGTGGAGGTTCAATAATGATATGGGGAGGTGTAAGTTCCGACGTACGTACAGAGCTGTTCATCGTTGATAATCGGCTTACAGCTACTCGATAAATCGAGGAAGTTCTTCAGGAGCACGTAATGTCTTATTCGGGGTTCATTGGATACGACCAATTCCTCCTCATGCACAATAATGCATGCCCACATATCATGAATACAAAAATTAGAGCGGCCAGTTCGCAGCCCGGACTTAAATCCAGTTGATCATGTGTGGGGTATGCTCAAAAGAAAGATAAAGTCCAAACCGCCACGAACTCTAAATGAGCTCCGAAACGCAGCGCTAACCGCTTGGGGCAGCATACCGCAAGTTGATGTCAGAAAAATCATTGAAAGCATGCCAGATCGAATGCAGGCGGTTATCAGGGCTAGAGGAGGAAACACCCGATATTAAAACTGATGGCAATAAAGAAACAGACTTAATTTTTAAATTTGTAGTATTTTTAAAGTGACATTGGAAAGAAGAGAGAAATTTTAGTGAAAACATGTTGTCTTGAAAAGAAAAATTTTGGTGAAGTATTACATTAAATTTCAGCGTTCTAAAACTATTAAAGACACTTATTAAATCCACCTACTCCTAATTTACTGTTAAAAAAACTTTCAGTGCAAATACTTAGCAAATTCAAATTATTTGATATATGTAATCTTTTTATATAAAATATTGAATAATTTAATTGACTCTTCTCAACTTCTCTCAAAGATATCATTTATTGCTCGTGCTTCTCTTTCGGTGCGATCCTCACGTAAAACGCCACTTTCTGTTCCTCAGCGGTTACTTATAAGACATACTCATAATTCATTCTTATACCGTTCCACTCACATATACAATAAACAATTTACTAATATCGACCTTTTTAATTCATCTCTCAATACCTTAGAACAGACATTAAAAACTAATTTAAGTAAGGTTTGAAAGTGAGTTGTATTTTTTATATTGATATTCTAATTTTAATTATGTGTGTGTACTTAGTTTTCTTTGTTATGTAAATATTCAATATGTAGTGTTACCATGTAACTTTCTTTTAAATTGTGTTTAACTTTTCGGCACTGTAGGTCAATTCATAACAGATAAGTTGTTTTTATTTTATTTCCTTTTATATATGACTGTTTGTTGCCAAAATAAATTTAAAAATAATTATTCACGAGTGGCCAAATTTCGGTGTCGGTGAACGGTATTGAAATAACAGAGCCAATTTTTTTTTTGCGCCCGAATTAAATATGGGCTACCCTCCGGAAAGCGGGAGAGGGAGGCGGTGAATGCTCATAGCATACCACACAGCCGGCTGCGTGGTTATTTGGAGACTTTTACCCACTAAACACCGCCATTTAGGGACTGGCTTAACGGTTTAACTAGAGATTTCTAAGCCATGTACGAACGCCTTGGCAGAAAGGAGGGCGCAAACAGAGCCAATTCGGGAGCGCCCTTTAAATATCACCCCGCTTTCCGTTGCAATTCTATATATATCATTACACGCTCATACAGGCGTCAATCACTGTATTACACGGTAGGTTATTTGTCAATCACAGCCATGATTGTTGTTAAATTAACAGCCTGCATGAGCGTGTAATGTACACCTATGTACGCCCTAGCTTGCGATCTAGTCCTCAATGAAGCGTGGGTGCGTTAACACACATTATACGATTTTAGATATGACTTTACTTATGGCATAATTAAACCTAAAACATATTTTCCTCTTTTTAATCTTCCAATAAAACACAACAAAATATAATACTTCATTTACATTCATACTTACGAGTATATGCCTATAATACGAGTTAAATTTTATAATATTATATTGCATCTTTATCTATCCTATATTACATGATATCTTTATCCATTCTATCTTTTTGCTTATTTATTGCATTATGATAAGACATTAAAAAGGTAAATAAACAAAGAAATAGAAACTAAACATTATACTTAATTTCTATCTACCCTGTTTTTATGAAATGACTTCTAAATCTAAAATATATAATATAAACTTAAAATTTTATTAAAAATAATGTACTTAATATATATTAATCAATTAAAACATTTACGCTAATAATCATATTGTTAAAAAAATAGAAATATGATGAAATATAATAAAAGAATTGTCACGCCATTAATCCTAATATGGAATTTAAAGAATTTGTAATAAATATTTAAAAGTATTTAAAAGAGTATGCACCATAGCCAGTCTAAGGTCAACTCTCGCAATTGAATCTCTCAAATTCAATCTAAATCAGATCAGGACGTTGTAATGGTTTTTGAGAAATATTTTACTGATATTCCGATCTTAATCACTAAGTCACTTAATTCTTTTCCTGCCGGCGCCGAATCATTTCTTAAACAAAATGTAAATGCGGGTACAAAGAATTTTAAATTTCATAAATTATCATCATAAGGTATTGTAAAATATTTTAAAACTATTGATAATAAGAAAACGGTAGATCTGTGGGGATGATTTCCGTTGAAGTTATAGTGTCTATAATAGATGCAATTGGACCTCAACTATGTATTATTTTAATACTAGTATCCATGGACGTAGAAAAAAGGGCTGACGCCGTCTCTTAAAAAAAAATACTGACGCACCCATAGTAAGTCAGTTCGCTAATACAAGCAAGCCGGCACGCACACAAGCACTCCGTAGTAAGTCTACCGCTGGCATTACGCTCCAATCCGCGCTCGCGTAGTTACTCATGCATAGTTAAACGGCCGCCATTGCGGTGCATCAATTGTTTCTTAGTGAGACTCTGTCCGCCATGTTTTCTAGAACCAAGTAAGTATCGAATTTAATTAAGCATGGTGAATTAATATCTTTATTTAAATCTGGTAGGACATTAGACTCTATTAATATTAGAGCTATTTATGTACGACAAACATTTAATAAAATTTTGGAAAAAAAATATTCTTCATCTAATGTTAAATTTATTAATGTAAATAATTTACTAGATAATAATCAATTCGGTTTCACAAGGGGTCGCTCGACAACTGATGCTGGTGTTGAGCTGATTATGATTAAATATATCTTCAAAGTATGGGATAATTCACAGGATACTTTGGATATATTCTTTTACCTATCCAAAGCCTTCGATTGTGTTCACCATGAAACATTAATCAGGAAATTTTAAGACAACGGTGTAAGAAGTGATGCTTTTAAATTATTTCGTATTTAAATAACAGAACGCATATAATTGTCATTAATAATATGAGTTCTTCCAGGTCGACAATACAAATGAGCGTGCCTCATGGGTCAATTCTTGGTCCTTTTCTGTTGTTTGTATATATTAATGACTATATAATATCGGATAACCATGACATAGTATTATCTGCTG